ATGAGATAGTAACATCAGAGTAACGCACACAACAGTGATTACTGGTAACTTTTTTGGTGCATTTAATACTTTGTGGCAAATTGTTCTGAACCAACAAATGTTCTGGAAGCCTTCTGAACCTTCCCCACTTAGAATGTCTCATTGTGTTAAGTGGCAGTTAAAAAAAACGAGCAACACTAATCTATGAAAAGAGTAAACATAAAGATAACTTTAAAATAACCATAGCTGTTCTTTTAACTACAACTTGAACTGCTAAGTTTTTTAACAAATGAGGATGTTAAAATGCAATGACTGGCTGGGAAATCCACTAATGGAATAAGCCTCTGAATTCTGACTCGTATATATACATGGGTCTTTAAACTTAAAACCGAAGTCTTCAACTTCAAATGTCAAGTTATGGCCTCTTATCATGGATGCGCTACCTAAACTTTCATTACTTTCTGCAAGCCCAGGACTTCACACACTTATCTTCCACAAAAGTCTGGCAAGTATTTTAAGAAGATCTCAACAACTTTAGGATAACCTCTAAAACTTTGGATCATTTATGATTCAAAGACCGGTGAAATAATGGGAATATTTCTTTTGATTAATATGTGAACATGGCAGGAGAGCACTAGCAAGAATTTTATAACCTAAACACAGTACAAAGAAAATGTAGATGCTCATCTCTGTAAGAGTGCCAAGTACATGTAGAATGCTATGCCTTATGGGGAAATTTTAGTTTGGGGCTTTAGTACTTCTTAAACAAAGATTTTGATAGAAGATGGTAATGACATTATTTATTTATCTATATACAAATTTATATTCATCTTATCTAATATTTATTAGATCACCTTATGACACACAAAAAATTAGATGGCTAATTGTTGCACTAATTCTACAGAATAAAGCTTTTTATTTATAAGAACTTGTTAATAAAGAAAATTGAGGGGAAAAAAACAACACCTATAACCCTAGATACTTTGAAGAGTGATCTCTGATAATAAATGAAGATAACAGAGTCCATTCTCTACCATTAGAGTTCATTTCCACAAATATAATAGAGTCATAGAATCATAGAATCATAGAATCATAGAATCATAGAATCATAGAATCATAGAATCATAGAATAGCCTGGGTTGAAAAGGACCACAATGATCATCTAGTTTCAACCCCCCTGCTACGTGCAGGATCACCAACCACCAGACCAGGCTGAACTTGTCTCCGCAAGATTTATTCTCACATTGTCTACTTGCATGGTTTCTGATTATTTGGAGAAGTCCTGACATCTCTTAAGTAGAGAAGAAACAAAGGAAGGCATATTTTGAAATATTTGAAATAGAAAGCAATTTCCTGATGTTTTCTCATGTATTTTACTTAGGTGGCTCTGAAAGCAATGCCTCCTATTTATTTCCACTGAAACTACAACAGATATCAAGAACAGAATTACACTATTTGATAGAGCAGATTCTCAGCTACACAGTGCTATTCTGCAACACTGTCACCACCATTAGTTATGCATTTTATGCTTTTTCTTCAGCACTGAACCAAAGCCTGTATGACATTCTCATTAAAATCTGCACAGGCATCTGACTTCAATCTCACACTTTTCTTTTGTATGCACTTTCTCGTTAGATGCCATTTTGCCAGACTGCTCCTCTGCTGCTGCCTGTCACACAGCAACAAAATATGATGAAATATTGGTGGGAAGGTTCATCCCCTACTGCCAAAATACCAACATCCACCTCTGATGCCATGGGTTAACATAATAAAACTGGAGGCATTACTTTTGGAGCAGCCCTTGTACAACCTTAATGCTTTTGATTTGAAATGGTCTATAGCTAGAGCATTTTTTGAATATGAATCATTAGCATAAATACAAGGGTATGCTAAAGTATGAAGAATAATCCCTAAAAGTATGCATTGGTAATAACCTTGCTCTTGACTTACTGGTTACTCTGGGCAATCTCTACCCTGCATTTTAATTCAAATACTTTGAGAAGTCTTCAGCTGTCATGACAGAAGACAGGTATGAAGATTACAGTTACTACTATTACTAGAGTTTAATTCTTTATTGTGTATATATTTTTCAGAATGTCAACTATACTTTCAATTCCAGTATCAGTAATTTGCAATTCACTTCAATTTGAGGATCGGCAGTTTGTCTCAAATTCCAGCTGATATATCTGAGAATATTCTATTTATTTAAATATGGTAGCTAAAAAAATAATAAAAAAAATCCAAACCAACAGCTTTTTGAAACAGCTCTGTTTCTGAAACGTTTTGTTGTGCAAAATTCTAATCTGGGATAGGGCTAGCATCCCATGAGACGGGTTACAATGGCTGTGTTGTTCTTTGTCCTTGAAAATTGGATGCTACTGTCAATTTACAGTAAGTCCAATGCTTTCCTAGTGAGTTGGGCTCTCTGAGCTCGTATATTCCAATCCTATGGCACCTGTATAGTACACCAAGACTTTATAAAAGGACTTCTGTTCATGACACGCACACTAGGCAGACCACATATCCCAAGGACACAGCAGCCCTAGGCTGAGTCTGCAGCAATGCCATGTGCAGCACTGGTCATTCTTTATGCCTCGCTTTTACTGTGTGAAGTTCCATTGGCAAGCATTCTAACATTAATGTGTTAAAGGAATGAAACATCAAAAAAAGTCCACAAATTAACCACCCTGATAGCAAAATAATTAATGCAAATAAATGCAAATCAAATGCATTACCCTGGCATGGCATGATAATGAGAAAACAAGTCATTTAGTCAATCAAGGAAATATGCAAATAAAAAACATCCTTTTCTGAGGTGCTTTGATGCAGAAGTCTAGAATAAATAGTTTAGCTGTATTTTGGGGACATAAATTACTATTTATGTAGTTTGCAATGCAGGTACACTACCCCCTGTTTTTATTCTGTTCACACTAAGCGACAATAATATGACAAAATGCATTTTCTGCTTAGAAATGCTGCAGAAAGGTATTTTTCACACCAATGTGAAGTTTGAAACTTACTGCAAAAAAAAAAAAAAAAAAAAAAAAAACCCAAAAAAACAAAACAAAACAAAAAAACCAAACAACCTTAAACTAAAATATACTACTGGGATGCTGTGTTAAGACTAACGTCACAATTTTAACCTTATCTAATGCAGCAACCAAACAATCTGTACTTCTCACAAGATAACAGCTCATCCTTCTAAGATGCTTGACTATTTTGGTGTGCATATCTGAAGATCAGAATTATGGGCCAGGCCTCAGATGACAACTGATACAGAAGATCTGCTGCCTGCATGTAGATTATTGCGCAAATGTTTTTTGCAGACTACTTGCACTTATTATTAAACACACCAAAAAAAAAAAAAAAAAAAGAGAGCTGGAGCTGGGTGAAGATTATTGGTCATCACCTGCAGTAAGAAATAGGATGAGAAACAGGATGAAGGGATATGATCAAAGTTCTAGAATTAATTGTTGAAATACCAGGAATGACTGAAGCAAGGCACAATACTGTTAAGTATCGCTGCTGCACACAGCTGCTGTAAAGAAGAGATAAGAAGAACACTAGACACAATTCCCTTCTGAAGAGTAAGCTTCAGGTCAGGGGGTAAAAGTTACTAAAAAGGACTTGCTGCTCTTTTCATCTTTTCGCCATTATCTTCTAAGCCCCTTCTCCAAACAATTTAGTATACACTAATTACTTTGTAAAACATTTTAAAATTAGTCATCTGCATATTTTACCATTGCTTTTAAATTGAATTCTGCATGAAAGCAAATGCTTTTATGTTGAGAAATGGGCAAGCAGCTTGCTGACAAAGCCTAGGTATTCCTGTCTGTCTAATATGTTCTGGAGCAGTGACATTATACTGCACTGTGATATTAAAGTTCAATCAGTAGCTATGGATTGCTTAAGCCAAATATTTTTCTCTGATTTCATCATGAAATCAGTGGAAATGGAATCCCTACTTTTTAAGAAAATAATAATTATTTCTTATAGACTTCTTTGTAGATGAATAGTCACTCACTGGGCTTAATTACATGGACTATCACCCTCTCCAGATCTAGGCAATATCTGTAACTATGCCAAAACACATGGCGTTTCTGCCACAGTTGATCTCACAGAAGTAGAGAGTCTTAAGGCAAAAGTGGATCCAATGATTTAAAAGGGGGTGTTTGCACACTTAAAATTAAGAGCAGAGTAGAAACCCAAATTTCCATCCACTTCTGTGTCTCAACTGATTTTTTGTCAACTTCAACTTTCTGTTTTGTATTACTAATTGATAATCCCTAGGTGTTTTAATAAATTGCCACTATGATGTATCCAGTGCTCTCCATTTAATAGAAGAAAGAGCAGGCAAAATCTGCACTGGGAAACATTTCATTCACTGGATACAGTATCTCATGGGTGAACTTTCCTGCCAGACATTTTGCAAGGTATGATTACATGGTGGACAAATGGAGGAAAACTCTGAGGCTGTCCTTACTGATGTGAGTTCCTCACAGGGCACCCAGGCCTATGATGTAAATATATCAGTAAGTTTCTTTTTTTTTCACTTGGTACCCTCTCCCCAGCAGAACACCTATTACTAAAAGGAGAGTGGTAGGTAGAATTAGGTTCCAGCAGCATCACACATTTTCCAAGGTCAAAAGTGAAAGATAATGGAAAAAATACAGTGAAGCATTTTAAAACGAACATAATTCTATAAAAAGGACTGAATTCATGGAGGGAAGGAGATGAACATGCTGTTCACCTGTAGCTCTGCAGTAAAATTTTCATATCAAGTGCTAATGACAGGTAACCTCCCTAGAGATTTATTCATTCATTTTCTTCCAGGTACAGCATATCAGCTCAAGACTTCCCTGCACAGCCACTTCGCCATGATGTGAATTACAATTAACGCCGAGCAGCCAGGGGTTGTTTGTTAGATTATTAGAGCCGGTGAAGCTGAATGACTCATTCTATGCTACTTAGAGGAAGAAGGCAAGCAATTCATCACCGAACAGATATTAATGATAGGCTACCTGAATCCCTATGGAGGAACGCCGGCTCTTGAGGAACTCCTCTGCCTTAGTCACCAGGATGGCCTTGTCGCTGGTTCGGATGGAGGCGCTCTCCGACATGTGGCGCTGGGCAGCTGCAGTCTCCAAGGCGAGGTTCATGGCCTTGTTGCTGTCCAAGCTGTCTGTGGAGTTGTACATCCCTCGCCCATCCTGGGGCCACGGGGACATCCGCTGGGCCCGGCTGTCATGGTATGCATCCTGGGTGGACTCTGTGCTGCTCTGGGCCGTCACTGAGATCAGTGGCTTGGATGTGGTACGTGGGGGTACCGGTGGTGGGGTTTTTTTGTAACTTGTGTAAGTTACAGCTATGGAAAGAACAAAAGGAAAAAAAAAAGGGGGAGAGGGGAGATGGATGGGGGGAGAAGAAATCAAGATTAACCAGATGGAAAATTCACAACATTTTCACCATAACACTAAGGCTATTCTACTGAAGACAGTGCAACATAGTGCTCCTGGTAAACCTCACTGTTTAGTCAAACATGTATCCATAGCAACATTTCATTTCAAACAGGTGGCAACGGGACTCCCATTACAGAGAAGATGAAAGGGAGTGAGGATGTGTGTATCTGTCTGACCCTCAAGGTTGGGTCGGGTAGGGACCTGTGGTGCTGTCGGGGTGGCTCACCAATGGATAAAACTGATGAGAAAAATAAAGGGAGAGGTTTTTTTCTACTCTCAGTCTGAACTGTGTCCCCGTTATTGATACAATCCATTAAGAAAGTAATGGCAAGGCAGTGGAACAGAGCAGAAACTTCTACCTCATGCCACACTTACTCATCTATAAGTACTTCCAGTAGTACTGGCTTGTTGGACAAGAAGCCTGTCTTTTAAAAATATTCAAGATTTGAAGAAAATTCAGGCATGTAAACATTTTCATAATATCTGAAAAGCTACCAGATACTTGTACAACAAATAAATATAAATAATACCCAAAGCAGTGATATTCTATTCGCAATCCTGCAGCAAGCCTTAAATCCTTAGAATGTACATTGAAGAAAGATAGATTCAAATGCAGAGAATATGGAAATGCAGATATAAAAATTGGCCTGAAACACTGAGAGAACTGGATGCAAATGAGCAGAACTAAGAATTTTAGCGTGATGAGCAGAGCAGGTCTAAAACCACTTTCGTGTGGATCCTATCTTGAAGTAGAAGGGCCCATACATTGAATACATTATATGTATTCAAGGGAGCTATACAGGATGCAGGATTCAGCCAATATTGCCTTCTTACAAAATCTTTTAAATTTCATAGAGATAGATAGTGATTAATATCACATAGTTATTTTATCACAGAATCATAAAATGGTTTGGGTTGGAAGGGTCCTTTAAGACTATCTAGTTCCAACCCCCCTGCTATAGGCAAGGACACATCCCACTAGACCAGGTTGCTCAAAGCCTTATGGTATCTTATTGCCTAAGCCCACTATACTGTGTTTGTACTAGTATAAGAATTTCTGTGATAAAAGCATTTTTACTGCAAAGCACATACAATCATAGCATTCATAAAATTAGTGACTGGTACAAAATTGCATTGTAATATGCTTTTTTTTCCCCACATTCCTGCACAGGAAAATCAAGCCCAGTTCACATCCCATATAATTACAGGAAAGAAAATTATTACCTTTCCCTATATAAAAAAAGCTGAAGTAGCACATACACAGAGATCAATATAAAGAATGATTTACCAAAAAGGTTTGCCTTTTTCAGGTGTCATTAAATGCACTGGATGTTGCGAGGATTACTTAGTTAACCTTGGATTTGGGTTAATTGAGTCCAACAGGGATCCTAAAAATGTTCCTGCTATACAGACATGAGCTGATGAGCAGTGAAGTCAGAAGCAGCACCTTTCCAGTTGTGCTGGAACAGGAGGCTACACTTCAGCTCTCTAGAGAGAAGAAGCAGCTTTAGGAATTTGCTAGTACCTGGGACTGCTGAGCCTGAATCACCAAGCAAGCATGTGAAAAACTGAGCCTAGAGAAAGACGCTCTGAAATTTTGATTCTTGATAATAATAAATAAAATGGTGATCATAAATAAAAGAGAGCGAGGGAGAACTAAGAAGTGAAAATCTTCATTTGAAGCACGTATGGAATTACTACTGATGCAGCTCAATTCTGGTAGAGATTTAAAGAGAGTCTTGCTCTGAGCTAAATTGCTCTACCAGTGAGAGCAAGCTCTTCAGTTTCAGGGATGGTGTGTGTTTTTGAAGTGCAGTTTTATTGTCCTATCGCAAATCTTATCTCCTGTCAGTTTTGTAACCAGCAGTTAAGAAAAAAGAAAAAAACAATATTTTTCCAGCCACTTTAGGGAATACAGAAAGTTCATGAAAGAAGGGAGAGGCTGTAAAGTCGAGAAATTAAAACAGTGTCTTATGAGCATAAGCAATGCCTCTAAGAAATGTTTCCACTAAGTGAGTTGCTGTAATACTGTTCCCTCCCTTCCCCCTGCAAATGTAGATGCAAGTATTCAGAATGCTGAACTGCTTGCTGAACTGTTAGAAACAGAAAAAGGGATGAAATGGGTTCAGGGAAATCCTGAAATAGAATTTATTTTTATCTATAGCATAAGACAAATTGTCAATGTTATAACTAGTTTACTAGTTTTTTACCAACTGTCTTCATCCAAAAGAAGAGCAGAATAATGAAACATATGGTGAATGTGATACTGAAACATCACAAGGAAATGTATCCCTGCTGCTTATCTCTCTTTTGTCTAATTAACATCAATGTGAAAAATGTTAAAATTGTGTGGCAACCCTTCATAGCTACTTAACTTTTGTTTACATTTTTTAAAAAGAAAACTATTTGAAAGTCTGAAAATCTGTGAAGAAACTGCATACATATTCGCTGTTAAATATGGCAGAAAGAAATCTGATTAATTTCTAATTTTAATTTCTTCATTGAGATCAAATATTGAGAAGGGAATAAAAAAATCCATCTCTGCACAGTTAACGAGTTCATATCTGGAACAACAGTTTCAGAGTCACAGAAATCTGGGCCTAATTGGAAACTAACAAAATCAGGTAAGGGGATGGAGGCATGAATTTGCAAGGCAAATCTTAACACCAAATTCTATTTGTTTCAATCACTCAAGTGATTCCATAGAAGTAAATGAGATAACTTAGATGAGTAATGTGATCAAGACTGGTCTTAGATAAACTGGGTATGTGTCACTGGCTTAAGGAATAACTAATAAATTAGGAGAGGACTATAGGAGATAAGTTGTCTACTACTCCATAGGTTACTGGTAATGCCTGTTCTTATGCCTCTAATAAATAATTGTCTAATGGTCTGAAACATGAAATTTTATGTCACTTTCAATTTTTATTTTTATTTTTTTTTAATTTATGATTAATTATTACATCAGTGAGTGTTTCCGTTATCCTGTAGCGTCTTTTTGGATCTGCTTCTGGCAGTCATAAGCACCATATACTATACATTAAAAAAAAAACAAATGATACCTTTTCCTAATAGGAAAGGAAATTCCTTTCCATCACTCATCCCTTTCTTATACTGAGGGAGAGGAGCTCCTGTCAGCTTTGCATGATTTGCAACTTTGCAAATTTTATTGGCCTTAGTGGTTATTATTTGGAAGTAAGCACATGAAGCCTGCTTGATGTTTTGGTCTGCCAGCCTACAAACACCACAGTGTCCACCCCAGCACTGAGCGCAGTGCCTAAGTCCATCTGGGGAACTGAGGCAGGAAACCAAAGTGGAATGATGAAGATGGAGAAGGATGCTTGTCTCCAGTCACAGAAAGACAAACTGGGAGTCAGGGACAGCACAACAGCTCAGGAGGAAATACAGCATGAGAATGGGGAAGCAGGAGGGCAGAATGCCTCTCTATGACTTTAGACTGATTTCAGTTGTGGACATCAGCTTAAGCAGAGCTTTGTATTTTGACATACATCAGTCCTGGAAAATATCACTCCTGGATAACCTGTTGTTTCTGTGGCCCACAGAACCTGACCTGAGATTGCTGATTTTGTTACTTTTTATCACTATTTTCACCAAGGAGGCTTGGTGGGCCCTGCTGATTTTTTACCAATGCTAAGGAATGAGGCTCAGGAAAAGGAAAGCACCATTCTGCTACACTGTTAATCAATTTGTAATATCTGCAGCTGCTCTGAAATGCAAAGATAAAACGAGTAGACAGAACAAAACGTATCTTTTTAACATTTAAACATAACACAGAAGGAGTTATGAGAAAGAAATTGAATTTTCCTTCCTGTTGTATTCAAAGGCTGTCTTAATATAGAAAGCAGAATTTATTTTTTTTGCCTTGTTTAATAAAGCAGGAAAAATTATTTTTGGAGATCAGAAGATACAGTCTGTCTCCATCTGTTAGCTAATAATTGTCAACAATAATGACAAAAATGGTCAAAAACATTTTTCTAATTCTAACTGTAAGGATATTTGAGACTCCCATTTGAACCAAAGCACTAACTGTTCAGGCACTTGCTTGACCTCAATATAAAGAGGTGCAATCAGCTCCACTGGATTTTCCTTCATGTACACTGCTAGACAAATGGAGAGGAAAGAAAATGGTTCTGTGCTGTTGCACAGAATAGAGGGCCAAAAAAAAAAAAATGAAGATGAAAACCAATTTCCTGATAATTCTTAATTAACTTGAAGTTTTCATTTAGTTGATACACCTGCTGTTGGGTATCCTGCTGAATCTGCCCTGCATTTGACTAAAGCTGTGTTAGGCTGGTGTTGCTACAGCCATAGAAATAAGTCAGTTTCTCAGTCCATATTTCAGTGCAAACACAGCTTGTATTAGAAATAAAATGACTAAAATCATTCAGTTCAGATATAACTTCAGATTATCCGTAGAGATTCTGAGACAAAAGGCAGAAGTAGAGACTTGACGTGTCTGATGAAATATCAGTGGCTGTAGGTGACATTCAGAACACCTTTTGAAAGGCAGACTTTTAATAAATCACCGCTGTTGGTCCATTTACCAGATATAATCACCTGAGGGGTTGTCACAAATCAATATAACCACTAAGCACTTAGTCAAAATAACATTATTTAGGCTGAGATCACAAAGTTAACTGGATGATGAATTTACATGAAAGCACCATCAATTAAAAGGAACAGTTGTCCCTTGTGACACACAGCAGGAGTAAACTGGATTTTCTGTTTTGTAAGAAGGTTTATTCAGAAGGAGGATAATTGCTCTGCAAGGAGCATGGAGCTGTCCTGGAGGCAGAGCTCCCCAGGGCACACTGCTGCAGGCAGCCTGGGCCTCTCCAAGGGGAATGCCATGGGGGATCCCAAGCTGATGCTAGGTCTCCTCCTT